AATTAAATATCAGTATTTTTTCCTTCTTTCTTTCTTTAATTTTATTTAACAATAAATAAATAATAATAATATCTAATAATACTTTATTTACTTCTACAAAAGGTAGGGTGACATGTGACAGTGTGCCCTATATCAGTATTTTTATTTGTATTATCTTTTTTAGTAGATCACTGAACACATGTTCAAGAAATTGGTGAAGTATTAGTATTACTGAAAACTTGAACTTATCAAGTTTAAAAATACAAGTTTGCACAACTTCTGAAGTTCAACAGTAGGTGGAGACATAGGCCAAGATTTTTTTTTAGAAAGAACACATTTCATGTTTACATTATCTGAGTCTAAACAAAGAACACGTTCATAGTTTAAAAATAAATGAAAATATCCAAACAATTATTAGAACATACATTTTGTTCTGCACTATAGGTTCATGCAAGCCAGAAACGTATTTTTTCTTCTTTTTTTACCACAACTTTATTTACAGCATTGTGACATTTTAAAAATATAAATAGAATTTCATTCTTTAACAGACACCAGAGGACACATTTCAGCAATGTCTGTGGCCACATCCTTTAAAATCTTGCTCTGGTCTACAGTCTGCAGAATAGCTTTAAGATTGCCCCAGAATACTCTCTGCTTGCGTTCATCTGTTGGCCACTCCAGGTACGTTTTCCGCCTCAGCAGTATTCTTAACTTCAGAAACTTTTTGGGCAGAGAGTCTGTTGGTATGTGCTCCAACAGAACGAAGACCAGAGAGTCGTCGTTCACACTGATCGCCCTGTGCTGGGCGAAGAACAGTTCATAGTTGCACAACTCGCTTTGCACAAAGTGTTTGGCCAGGATGAAGAGGCTCTTGTAGCTGTCCTCCACACAATGGATTATATTGTCCACAATCCACTTCCCAGGTTCAAAATCTCTCTCATGGACGCAAAGAGACAGGCCTGACCTTTCTAATTCAGGTACCAGCTGAGATCCCACCCAGGTTGAGTCATGCTGGCTGTAGGAAATAAAGGCATGGTAGCGAAAGGTGGCATTTAGCAGTCGATCAGCCCTCTTGTAGCCTCTCCTTTTCACTCGGATCCAACCCCAAAGCATTTTGGTGTACCAAATACCATCACAAGCATAAACAATGATGGCTAGAGCAACTACCACCACAGATAACACAGACAGAACCACAGCAGCCTGCAAGCCCAGTTGACAGGACAGCCATCCGTGCTCATATGTCTCCAAACGCCGGCCGGAAAACGATGGTGGGGTGCTGCAAGAGTTATCCTGGGACCAATCTGAGAGAAGGGATTTATTATACACCATCATGAACCAAAAGGAATCGCAATCACAGCTAAATGGTTTGTGGCCGGCTTTCAAACTCCTCAGTTTGGGGAAACCTTCCATTGATTTCTGGCTAATGCAAGTTATAGCGTTCTGGTCAATGTGCAGGCTTACTAACATAGGAGCCTGAAGATCCTCTGGGATGTTATGTTAAAACTCAGATAGAGGTACGTTCGTCTGGGAAACGATGATATAATATTTAAAGGAATAACATTTATGCCTGTCTTAGAAAGGTCTATCTTTTGGAAGTATGGAGATAGGTAGTGAAACACATCGTTTCCTAGATTGTTGTGGCTGAGACTCAACTCTATCAGGTGGGGCAGCCAAAAACATGGTTTGCCAATGGAAATAAGAGTTGAAACTCAAGTCAAGAGACTCTAAGAACTTCCTATCATTGACGTTTTTGGTAATCTCAGTGAGGTCTCTGCAACGGTTATGGCTTAGCGAGAGGTTCCTCAAGGCTGGAAACACTTTGTGTGACGAACAACCAATCTACCAGAAGCCACTTTCATCCAAGAGGTTGTTTGACAGGTCCAAGACTTGTAGAAACTTTATGGCTGAAATTAGATTGCATGGAAGAATACTCATTCCGGTACCAGAGAACTTCAGGAAGGTTAGTTTGTTGACTAGTTCCATACTCACGTTAAAAGTGGGATAGTGGTACTGATGGCGGTGTACACCATCAAGTACGAAGGCTTGTAGATTCGTGGTGCGATTCTGCTTTGGAAGCCGGAAGCCATCAGTAGTGTCCTCATTGTATGTGATGTTTAAAAACACAGTTTCCTCAAAAGATGATTTCCAAAAATTTTTGAACAGTTTCACCATCACTGCATTCTGTTGCACTGTGGAAGCTTTTGTCACGAAAACAAATTCCTCGTAAGTGTTAACATACCTGACAATAAAGCTAATTCTGATTCTGATCCCAGAGCTGTTTAGCCAGGTATCTAGGATGCTTAAGTTACTGAGGGCACGCAAATCATTAAAAGCCATGAAAGGATCAGTCTTGATTGGTCTGGAAATAACTTTACAAGTTGATTTTTTTTAGTTTGGGTTTGGTCAGAATCCATAATCATGCGCTGGCAAAAAGTTACTTTCAGAACAACTTCCTGTAATGATTTGAGTTGCGAAAAAGAGCCATTTTCATAGTTTTGTAATTCCGTTCCATCTCCAGATATGATTTTTTTTTAAATGGTCGTTTTGAAGAGGAACAAAGTCCTTCACATTAACAGAAGTAGCGTCTTTACTACTGATGGCAAGGATGGAAAGTTAACTTAAGTTACCAAATGAGCCTGGAAGTGCATAACTGGGATATAGATTGGTGGATAGGTCTAGGATCCTTAGCTGGGGCAAATGCAAATTAGGAATGACTGTCAGATGGTTGTAGGAGATGTTCAGTACTTTGATTTCAGAGTTGCTGCTGAAGGCATCAGGGGAGATGTATTGAAGTCCACAGTGTGTCACTTTGAGGAAGCAGAGATTAGTTAAACCAGACAGGTCACCGTGAACAATGCTGGAGATGTTGTTGTGGGACACATCTAAGTACTCTATGCTGTTTGTTAAATGTGATGGTATCCTTGTTAGATTATTGTTGAAAAGATCCTTTTGTGTGCTCCGTCAAAGTGGAAAAATATCCAACTTCTTCACCATGTGCTTTTAACGAAATCAGTAAGAGACATGATATAAGCACAGGCCAGATGGTGGACGACATCCTCTGCACATAAAAAGGTTTATATGTGTTAAATAATGAATTAATTATATATGCATACATTTATTTTGCTAAGTGTGCAACTGAATAGCTAAATATGTATATATATATATATATATATATATATATATATATATATATTTTATATAATATGTATCTCTCACACATATA